TTTACTTTAACTTTACTTACTTACTACTCTCTCTCTCTCTCTCTCTCTCTCTCTCTCTCTCTCTCTCTCTCTCTCTCTCTCTCTCTCTCTCTCTGTTGTATGCTCTACATACCTGATTTGAAGCCGCACTATCGAGACCGCTTGTTGGTTCGTCTAATAACAAAACGGACGGATTCGTGATTATTTCCACACCGATAGAGAGTCTTTTCCGTTCTCCACCGCTTAATTTGTTCGCCAATGTATCCAGACAATCCGACAAACCGAGACTGTCCGCGATTTCATTTACCTGATAGAAATAATGATTTAATGTATTGTATAAATTAAATTGCAATTACTGTAATGAGTAATAGTTCAAAAATTTAATTTAATTTCTCTAAAATAAAAATTTAATTACTCTACGATGTTTTGCTATCAATTATATAATTTTATCATTTATTGTACTTGCTATCATTTATATACTTCATCAATAGTTATGTATAAAATTAATTAACATATATAATGGTATAAATCAGTGATGAGCAACCTTTGTTCTGCAGTGTGCCAAAATTGAAAATTAATATTTTATACGGGTCGCGACAAACACAATATATATATTAAATACTTAAATATATTAATAAAAAAAAATTTAATTTATAAAGTGGAATTCGTTATATTTTCGACAATGAAACTTTTTTTTAAATTTGATTTACTTTTTATTAGTGATACTTTTAATATATGTATACACAGGTATATGTACATATGTATATTTTTTTGATCAGAAGAAATTAAATATGTAGCTGCTGTTTAATTAATGAGATATTTGGCTCTGTTTCAACAAGCTTTTCAATATTGGGAGGTATGTTTGCTAAAATTTTAACACTTCAGCTAAATAAAGTGCAACGTTTTGGCAGGCCGCAGATAAGTAGTCGGAGGGCCGCAGATTGCTCATCACTGGTATAAATTATTATTTGTTTAAAATTAATTAATATGTATTTAACACGTTTAAGATTTTTTCACTTACAATCAGATAAATTTTTTGCTTGCTTTGTTTAACATCGAGTTTAAATCGAGCCGCAATGTAGAGCGTTTCTTTAGTCGTGAGAAACGGCAGTAAAGAGAATTGTTGCGGCACGTAGCACATTTGTTTGCGAAAAGTCATCCCTTTGTTTTGTACAACGCCGTTTATCGTGATGGTGCCCTTAACATTCAACAATCGTTCGCCAGTTACGATTTTCAGCATAGTTGTCTTTCCCGCACCGGAAGGACCAATTATCATCGTGATTTTTCCCGGTTCAAAGCGTCCTGTTACATCGTGCAAGATTGTTTTCTTCATACCTATCATTAAATATTTTAATGACATATTATTATGAGATTTAACACGCGCAACACATAAATCTTAAAAATATCTTAAAAAAACGTCGAAAAAAAATTATAATAATATATCGTCTAGACAGCATTTACGTTTTCCTCAAATTTAGTGCATTAATATATGCATATTGCGTATTATGTGTATTATGCATTCACAAACAACCATTACGTTTTAAAAATAAAATATCAAGGACATTTAAAAAAAGTCTAAAAGACATTTATAAGAAGATGCCTAAGTTTTTTTAAAATGTTTTTTTCAACATCTTTTAGACATTTTTTGAATACGTGCGTTCTACAAGAAAATAATGATGAAAATATTTTATAATCTCTGTCAAATTTTATTAGCTTGTACACAACAATAAGCTTGTATACAGGGTGTCCAATAATTGCTGAATCACCTCTCGGATGCAGGTAGAGCGGGTTAAACCGAGTAGAAAAGTCCTCTATCGTTTTGCGATTTTCGCCATAATTAATGAGAAATTAATTAAAGAAGATCGGCCAATTTGCGCGAGTCTAAGCGCGCGGCGAGAAGAGACAACCCGTTGTTACGTGATCGCTAGGACGCAAGGATCTAGCGTTACACACCGCTCGTATGTGCCGTTGTCATTCATAGAGCGCTCCTTCCAACGATTTATCGCGCGCCTAGTAACCAAATAACAGTGGGCTATATCACCACGGGTCTCTTCTCGCCGCGCTCTTAAACTCGCGTGAATTGGCCGATATTTTTTAATTAATTCCTCATTAATTATTGCGAAAATCGCAAAATGATAGAGGACTTTTCTATTCGGTTTAAACCGCTCTACCTACACCCGAGAGGTAATTCAGCAATTATCGGACACCCTGTATATCTTATTTGTGGAAAAAAAACGAATTTTACATATACAGAGTGTCCCATTTTAAATGGGCACTCCGAATAACTTCGAAAGAAGTGATTTTCAAAGAAAATGACCCAGACAAAAGTTATTGGGCTTGGAGGGGGACATCCGATGATGACATTGGTTTAACCTAGGATGTACATGCCAAGATTATATGGAGGTCAACTTTGTTTTTTTAAATGGTTAAACTAAACCTTATTTTTGATTCCAAAATCTAATAGCTGGTGTCAAGAGCTTTTCAAAACACTATAATAAAGTTATTTTTTATTAAGTACTTTTCGAGTTAGATATAAAATATCTTGTAAAACATTCAGTTTTTGAGAATTTTACCTTAATACTTTTATGCACAAAATAATGAGACAAATGAATTGGTATAAAGAAAACATAGTTGCTTTTAAGAAAAAATATGTAATTTGCAACATGCAGCTGCATACTTTTTTTTAAAAGCAACTGTTTTTTTTTATACAAATTAATTTTCTGAACCCTACAACTTTTGTTTAAAACGTTTTTCTCTAAACGTTTTTCTAAAAAGATATTTCAATGGGTCTTTTAAAATGGGACACCCTGTATAACTCGAATAACGTAATGAGGTCACCAAATATATGTGTAGTAAGCAAAAGATTTTATTTTATACGAAAAATGATGTAATTCAGTAATGCTATTTCCAGCTCCGAGCACCATAAAACCGTGTACATGTATTGCGCAGCTTTTTTTCGGCTTATGCGTAATCAGATTAGTTAGACCTTGAAATGATATTATATGACTTATATCGGTGAATCTCTTTTTTTGAATACTCCATCAATATTTCGGCTTTCGACTGGTCTTAGTTTTTTCTTAGAATATTACTTTGGCATTTCAAAATTTTGAGGATAAAACTAAAATGGATTTTATAAACTAATGGCACTGAAATTTCTCAACAGCTTCACGAGAGCTTCAACAGCTTCATCAATTAGATAAGCAATCTAAACTCACAAAAACAATTAATTTATCAAGCCGCATGCTCCAACATGCTCCAGTATTACATATACTATAGATTGGAGCATGCTGGGGTATTCTACACGAACAAAATGTATATGAGCAACACATGTTTAACCACAAGTATAGTCTGCTCGTTTCCTATCTCTACGCCTAAGTGAAGCGCGTATAGAGAATGCTAGGAAGAGTATGTGTGACAGAGAAAAGGATTCTATTCTATTCAAAGTCTTCTTACTTTTTCCAAATTTCGACACTACTAAGGTCACGAGCAATCTATACTTACTACGTCTATGTGTTTAACTCATTAAAAACTTCAATATTTATTCGAGTATTATCACCAGTTATCTTTTTTGGCCGAAAAACGACGAAAGAAACGTGTGCAAGCGAATGTTATGGTATTGATAACGCAAGCCAGTTACATAAATGATGAAATAAATTTATCTTTACCATTGCGAGAAATTGAATAACAGAGATCGTTAAATTCAATGCACAGCTGCGAATTGCGTTTCTTCTCGGGTTCTATCAATTTCTCAGATTCCTGCAAGTGAATCTTAGGACCGTCGTCAATCATTTTGATCGTTACCAAATCGTTATTATTTGTTCCCATCTTGAAAACACTTTGTGAATCTATTTATTGTCAATTAATTACTCGAACAGCCAATCAGTTTCACACTGCACAGCCAAGGCCGCGGGTAGATATAATAAATACTAATGCTTGCTTCTACCAACGTAGATTAACTTTAATTTCGATTGAATTTACTTTTCTTAGAGTTCTTAGAACTCGAAAAAGATAAAGAGTAAGTTAAACCGAGATTAAAATTAATCTACATTAGTGAAAATGGGCATAAGTCTTGTATTTTTTATGAAACGGAGAAAGTACTCGCACTCACGGCTTCATGCGTTGACCGACTTCTTATTTATATTGTATGTACGTCCAGTATTAAGCGCCTTTTACTTTTACTCGAAGCAAAACAAGAAGCGGCACGTTCGCGAAGTATCATGCGTGAATTCCCGCTTGCAACTGTCGAGTCGTACAATGTCCATAACAGCCACAGCTGCCGACTCAGCTCCGCATGATAAGTAGATACGGTGAATTAAATGATTATAATCTGATGACTGATCTTATGTAGAATTTTTAATACATTACAGGTTCTGTTTCTAATACATTAAATAAGAAATATTAGAAATTGTACAAAGTTATGAATTTTGTAATTTTTATGCTTGTAAAAATTTTAATTGCCAAGTCAATTTCGAGCGTGAAACTTTCTTAAATTGATCTTTTTTGTAAAAACGAGTGATATTACAGTCAACATGTTAATTCGCAAAAATTATTGGCCTTGAGAAGAATAATGCCTTAGACCGGTTTACTTTCTGTTTTATATTTTGTAAGGACCGAAGAGGCGCCGAGAAAGGAGCTAAAAGTGTAAAACGGAACAGACAGATGAAAACAAATGTAAGTAAAATTGCATAAAAATAGATTGTGAGAATAAATGATGATATCATGATTGGATTTAACAAATTATTTTTTTATTTGCTTATCAAATTATTTAACAATATCATATAAATATATGTTACATAAATTTAACATAATCGCATAGATTATAGAAGTAAGTCTTAAGGGGGGACGTCTACCTAGAGGAGTGAAAAATACATGCTCTTTTGGAATTTTTTTTTAAATAACCAATAAATTTTTATTAATAAAGAGTAGCCTATCATAAAATGTACATTTTAAAGATATTATAAGAATTTTTTTATGACAAAATTATTAAAAATAACTGAAATATAGGCCATGTCGTGGACGTTCTTTTTTTGGAGACATTGTGCGGTGATCACTATATCTCGAAACAGGATCATCTAAAATAAAAAATTCGAAAAATTCTAGATTATACAGGGTGTTTCATAATGTCCGTGCCAACACTCGTGTGCGGATAGAGTGCGATAAACTGAATAGAAAAGTCCTTTATCGTTTTGCAATTTTTGCAATA